TTCGCCCCCACCCGGTCCGTCAAAAATTTGTCGACCGGTAAAAAGGTCGGGGACCACTGCTCTACATGGCAAAGGTCAAAGGTCACGAGCAAAAGGCAGAACAGCCGTGGTTTGTCTATTTGGGCGGCAGGGTCCAGAAACCACACAGCCGCCGGCACGGCGGGGGAGGGATGATGATCTGGGCCGCCTCAGGGATCAGCATCGGGACCTTAAAGTCCACCCTGGAGTCCTCTGGACCCCAAAGTTAGGCCCAAAGACCCAAACACAACAGCAGATCTGCACAGGGAGGCTCAAAAATGGAGTCAAATGATTAAAAACTTGGTTTCGCATAATATGTCCGCACTGGGGGAGTCCGCCCTCGTTCCGGTCGGTTTTACGGCCCTTCGTTAACTGTTAACTGTCATGGCCGCCCCAGAGCCCTCCCAGAGATTAGAGGCCCACTGACCTCCTCCGGTGGGTGATGGCGATCGGCGGGTCGGTGATGAGCGGCGAGGAATCGGAGGTCAGCGGGGGCGGGGCTCGCACCTGCAGCCCGAAAAGACACTTCTTCTTCTTGATCTCCTTTCCGGACACAAACCTGTGAAGAAACAAGCGCAAAGTCACTCCAATTTCTGGTTTTGATTTTTCCTTCCAGGCTGGTGGAACGACCTCACAAGCACAATCAGAGCTCTAAATTATCTCATTTCCTGTTAGCATGTAGCATCAATGTGTGGTTACCTGTGTAATCTATGTTCTAGTTTAACCTTAAACTCTCTTCTAGCATATCAAAAAAAGCCAAGTGTGTTGCTGGTTGAAGGTAAACCCTCTTTTTGGAAGTTTTGTTTGGATAAAAGTGTCTGCTAAAAGCAGAAATGTACATTTAAATGGAAGAAACAGGCACAAAGTCACTCCAATTTCTGGGTTTTAATTTGTCCTTCCAGATCCTCTTTCCTCCTTTAAGACTGGCTCTCGTGAAAGTCTCTCTGGTCCTGAAAGCTCTAAAGTCACTTACTTCCTGTTAGCATGTAGCATCAATCGATGTTTACCTGTGTCATCTATGTTCTAGTTTATTGTTAAACCCTTAATGTTAAATCCTCTTCTAGCATATAAAACTAAGGCAAGTGTGTTACTGGTTGAACGTTAAACCCTCTTTTTGGAAGTTGCTTTGGATAAAAGCGTCTGCTAAATGCAGAAATGTACATTTAAATGGAAAAAACCAGCACAAGGTCACTCCTATTTCTGGTTTTTAATTTGTCCTTCCAGATTTTCTTTCTTTCTTCAAGAAATCCTTAAAGACCGGTTCTACCGAAAGTCTCTCTGGTCCTGAAAGCTCTAAAGTCCCTTACTTCCTGTTAGCATGTAGCATCAATGTGGGGTTACCTGTGTAATATATGTTCTAGTTCAATGTTAAATCGTCTTCTAGCATATTAAACTAAGCTAGTCCTTCCAGATTCTCTTTCTTTCTTCAAGAAATCCTTGAAGACCAGCTCCCCCGAAAGTCTCTCTGGTCCTGAAAGCTCTAAAGTCCCTTACTTCCTGTTAGCATGTAGCATCAATGTGTGGTTACCTGTGTAATCTATGTTCTAGTTTACTGTTAAACCCTTAATGTTAAGGGCCACTGTTTCCCCCCCGGCTCACCTGTCCTTGTGGGAGTTCAGAGCGTTGAGCAGGTTGTGGCACCGGTCTTGCCTCGGTGTGTCAGAGAGCTGCGGGGGGGAAACAAAAAGAAAGAAAATAAAAGCCGTTTTTACACGGTGGACAACGCACAACAATTTTCTGACAGCTGGAATCACCTCAGACAGTACCGGTTATGTCAAATATTTGATTAAATGCATCCATGTTGCCAAATTCTTCAGGAAAAAAACACCAAAAGCTGTAAAATAGACTAAATGAGACGTTCACAAACCAGTAAAAAGCGCAGTAAATATGAGAACTCCTTTAACTTTTGCTACGTCCTACTAATTTCCACACAGATAAGGTTTATAAAACCCCTAAATGCGATTAAATGTGAGTTTAAAGAGTCAGATGGTGGTTTCTGGGATGTCTCCTTTTCATACCGAAGCCTTTTGGTCACATTAACAGCATCTCTGAGATCTCCAGCAGAGTCCACCGCTCTTAGACTGCCGGAAGGCCTTCGGACTTCTTTTGAGTTGTGAATCCAATTAAACAGGGTGTTCCAGTAGATTTTTTTTTTCCTATTGGGAGCTCAGAAATTCTCCTTTCCAAGTTCAGATAGAGTGCACCAATAGCATAATAGTATTAAGCCCTATTATGGCCTTGCTCGTTAACTTGGCATATAATAAAATAAGGAAAAAGCATGTAGTCACAAAATATAAGTAATTAAATAAATAAATGCTTCCACTTAATAGAGGAATATTTCCAATATTAAGGAGTTCTATTATAGCCTATTATAGATTTTACTGGGAAACTACAATAAAATGAGCTAAACGCTGTTGATAAATATCTTAAACAGGTAATAATTTATTCAAATAAGCTGTTCAAACTGTTACTTTTGGCTAAACGGGTTTAGAAAAGGCAAAGTCAGCTCCCCTGATGGGTCAAATAAGGCTGCGTACTACATAAAAACACTCAACTTCTTCACTTGGGAGCGAACACGAGGGGTCAGTCTTTAGATTTAAGGTTTTACTTTAATGGGCATTAAATGTCAAATAACACAAAGCCTGGCAGCATTTCGCAAGATTTCATCACTGTGCTTAACGGAAGAAATATCAATACCGCGCCCAGGAGCAAGGACTCCCAGTTCTCGTTGGCGAAGGACAGGATCTCATGGTCGAAATCGAAGTATTTCCTCTTGCAGCACAGCGAGAGATGGTAGAGCACCAGGTGAGCCAAATCCGCCCTGTTTCACAAAGAGACATGACCAGTTAAAGGAGACATATCATACCCTATTTTCAACAGGTTAAACTAGTTCCCTGGTGTACTAATGTAATGTCTGTTTTTTCCCCCTTTTTTTTCTTTTTTTTTCTCCTTTTTTTCCTTCTTTTTTTCCCTTCTTTTTTCCCATTTTTTTCCTTCTTTTTTTTCTTCTTTTTTTCCTTTTTTTTCTTTTTTTTTCTTTTTTTTTCTTTTTTTTCCCCTTTTTTTTTCCTTTTTTTCCTTTTTTCCTGTTTTTGTTCCTTTTTTTTCCCTTTTTGTCTTTTTTTCCTTTTTTTCTCTTTTTTTCTTTTTCATTTTTTTTCTTTTCTTTTTCCTTTTTTTTTTCCTAATGTAATGTCTGTGACCAGCTTTGGTCAAAATCCCATAAGGATGAAGCCCAATAGCAGTTCAGTCCCCCTGCCTAACCCTAACCCTAACCCTAACCCTAACCCTAACCCTAACCCAAAACAGCCCCGTTCAGAGCGCTCGCTTTGGAGTGCCTGTCTCTTTAAATGCAAATGAGACACAGGCA